CTGGTCTAGTTGCTAGGGACTTATGCTCCTTCGGTAGGCAGCTAAGTGAGTTTACTTCCCCTTGTTGGTGGCTTGAAGATGCTGTCACTCCTGGGATTATTCTAAGGGGACTCCATGCCTAACACAATGCCTCACCCAAAGGAACCCTCTCCAGCAGTGGATTTTCTAGCCCTGGGGCAGCTGAGTGGGGGAGAAATTGTTTTGAGCAGGATTGTTTTTCCAGGGTTATTCAGGTTCTGCCTATTTCACTTACAAACAAGGCTGGCTATGGGTCTGAGGGCAACATCCTTTGGAGTTTTAATGAATGTTTCTTGTGACTGATATTAAAGATGGGAATTTTCTGTGGAAGCAGTACCTCAAAGGACTTCTTTGTTGGGATTTTCAAGACCTAAATGTAATGAAAGAATCTTTTCACTACAAGATGTCCCTCGACTTAGGATGAGGCTACGTCCCAATAAACCCATCATAAGTTGAAAATACTCTAAGTTGAAATTACGTTTTCAGCTTAGAACCATCATAAGTCAGGGATCATCTGTATTTTATGTATTTGTGATGTAAATGCTGGCAACCTCATGCTATACTGAGATGCCATTTTCTTGATGTGCCATGTAGGGTTAAGGGCTCACCCTTGGAGTGAACGCGTTCTTCCCTGAGGGGTGGACAGTCCAGAAATCACCTCCGAGAAGAGGCAGGTTCTCAGAAGTTTAGGACTTTTGCCTCTCTCTGGGCCTTAGTTTTGTGAGTCTGGATTTTGAGGAGTTTGAGAGAACTTCAGGGGCTGTTTGTTTCTACACCATGCAGTTGGTTTTCGTACTTTGTATGTTAGAACCCCCGACCCTCTCGGGTTCCAGGGACCCAGGAAAAAGAAATTCTCAGCTAAGACTCTTCAGAGACCCTTGGATTCTCCTGTTTCCTGAGGAACTTTCTCCCTTAATCCTGGGGCTACTTAGTCAAAAAGTATAAGCCAGCCCAGAAAGAGATGGGTTGAGAGGAGGTGTGAAGAGGTTCCTGAGGGTACTGCTGGTAGGACAGCTGCCCAGGTGTGTTCAGTCCAGGTACTGTAACACAGACTTGCTTCATCTGGAGCTGTTTTGGGGGACATTTAGCTTCTCTCCCATCCTTCATCATCATAAATGACGTTCCCAGAACACCTCACATCAGCCTCACCACTGAAGCACCCCTGCTGTGGCCTTCAGGTAACAGAACGGGCACTATGGACTGGGCATGAGCTTTCACAAGATGTTAGATAATTTCACATAAATATTTAACCCTGGGTACCACCTGTTCAGTGGTCTGATTCCAGAATCTTATTCTTCCACTGGGAGAATATTCTCAGGAGTGGGTCCAATCTTTCAGGCCTGGAAGTGAGCATTTTTTTAAAACCTCAATCCCTGTTCCTGGACTGTTTTGAATAGAAAGCCTACTACCAGGATGGGAGTTGTATGCTTTCGTTTGCTTGTAATATTCTTCCGCCCAAGAAAGCTCCCTCTCCCTAAAATAATCTCATCAGTCCCTTGAGGTCCCCTTCGGTTCCTTGTCTTCTATGAAGCTGCCCCAGGTCTCACACTCCTCAGAACTCAAAAGCCCTTTTTTCCCAATGATCCTTTTGGCAATTGGTCACATGCATACTTTATGACATACTCCAATAATTACTTTATGGTGAGCATAATGCCCACCTCACTTACTCAGCTTTGCTAATTTTGATGTATGGCAGACATCTCTGTCTGAATGATAAGTCGCTGCAATATTAACTCTATTCTGCACCGTGGCTTTGGTTTGGGCAGATGTTTTTATCTATCGCCCGTGTCAATCTGCTTTCCATGAAGGAAATTTGGCTGACCTTCAAAGGATGAAGATTACTGACCTGTCTTGGAAGCCAATGGAAGTGACATCACTATTGGATTTTTCAAAGTAAAAATGGAAGATAATTAAATGCAGCACAGTAGTTGTAAACAGATTTTGTTGTATTATATATCATTTCACAAAATCAGTGTAGTTCCCATTCTTCCACATGATGTTCTTTGTAGCATTTTACCACAGAATAATGACTCCCTGGCAATTCGACTAACAAGTGTTTAGACCTACTTGCTCTGAGAATAAGGTCAAAATTAAACATTCCTGGATGGAAAGCTCACTGGATAAAATGGTGTACCATCAGAATAAAGCATTCAACATTTTAGGTATAGTCAGTAAGCTTATTGGTATGGCTTATTGACTTGTCTAAGAAAAAAAACGAATGATTCTGATTAATCTGGTCAACTAATTCTAAAATCTGAGAATTTTGTTTACTGGAACTGCTAAATTTGGGGCTAGGTTGCTAACAATTTTCCAAGGATAAACTCTTATTGGAGAGGGACCATCATGCTGATTCATTCTATTGTGTTCATATACATGAATATTTCACAGTAAAATGATTCAGTCTTACCAGGTTTTATATTAGGAGAAGGATTAGAACCATCGCCTAATGTATAATTTTGTCTGTTCTAAAATATTTATTAATTCATTCATTGACTCATGGATTTCCTCAATTCCAGAACTTCGAGTGTTTCTGGAGAGGTTTGAGAAAAAAATGGTAGCTTGTAGGAATATAAAAAGCATTGTGATTCTGGAAATGCGGGTTCTCTTTTCTGCTCAGCCAGTTTAGTCTTTTGTGTGTGCTGCTGACAGTGATTTCTGGCTCACTGAAATGTGATAATTAATGACTTCATATTTGTGAAGAGCTAAGTACCCTGAATATTTTGATATTTTTAAGCAGATAATTTAAGCAGAAATAATAAGCCTTGCTGTTAGGTCTCACTGCCTGGGGGTGGGGAGGAATTACCCACAGGAAGCTTGCCTACCTCAATAAGAAGGGTCTCTATTTATACAAATAGAGACTTTTTCTGGTTGTTTGGTCACGGGTGGTTTGCTATTCTCTTTGAGTTTGCAAATAAAGTGCGTCTTGGGTTTCCTTACGTTTAAGCAAGTAAAGACAAATTAGTGGGAGAATGTTCACAGGCTGAGAATTCATGGTCTGAGGACATCAATTCAGCTCTCAGCAGGTGTGAGTCTAAAGTGTCTCTTTGCAGAAGAGAAAGCCACCACCAGCTGTGCACCTGCTTTCTGGCAAAGGGATCAGGCATCAGAAGGGCTGCCAGGGGAGAATTGACTCAACAAAATCATTTATCAGCCGGATGTAGTTTTATTCCCGCTAACAGGGGTGTATTTGTTGCCATGTCAATTATACCTAATGTAACGGGAGAGAGTGTATGTGAAAAGGTCAGAGAAAGTAAAATGGCTAAATGCATGCAGGATGTGTGATTAGACTATATCAGACAAATCCAGCACTGGCAGGGCTGTTCTCCACACTTAACAGAGAGGGAGCAGAGAAAACGCGCAGACATACTCCTCTTCATTTCGCCTAATAGTTTGATCTTTTCTTTGAGGTCATGCTCCAGATGAAGAGTAAGATGAGATTGAATATGGTCAATAATAATTAAGATGGGAAGGTATTGAAAAGGTCTGGCTAAAATTGGCTACAAATGATGAGATACACTGGACTCTTCCTCATTAACAAGATTTAGAAGAGGCTGGGAAGTCTCTGGAACTGTGAACTCTGAGGGGTGTGGTCCAATGGAAAAAGAACAATGCAAGGTCGTGGGATAAAGAAATACAATTGGGAAATTGAGGAAAGTACTTGAGGCTCTAAGGGGACTTGTTTTCTTTTCTACTTGGTTAGTTGTCCTAAGTGCATTTCTCCTGCAGTCCAAAGGTTATTTCCGATGACAGAATTCCAACAACTCCAAATTCGGTGAAGTGGTTGGGAGAAAAGGCATTTCAGGGATACATTTCAAGGATAAACAAAAGTTTGAGAGGAAGAGCTGGCAGTTACTGTGTGCAAGTGTTTCTTTGGGGGCAAGGAGTGGTTGCCAAAGGGACAGGAATCAGTGTGTACATTTCCTGTTCCTGTTATCAACATCCTAGGGTATCCCCGGCTCCTTGGGGTAGGCAAGTTCCCTCTACTGCCCTCCTTCTAGCCTCCATAATCTTGTCTACATGGCACTGGCTGCATGGACGAACATTTGTCCTATAGGTGTAAGTCTGAGCTTGCAAGATTTTGCAGTAGAGGATGCTAAAGTCAGCGAAGAGTGGCCAGAAATGAACATCGAGAGGGTGGCTTCAGTGCTGACATTTAAAAAAATTCTGATCTCATATGTTCACTTTTCCTAAAGTTGAGGGGCCCAGTTTCTAGAATCTCAAACTTTAAGGAAGTAATCAAAATTAGGGTGGATAGAAATCATCTCTTACCTTATTTTAAAGGCTCATGTACATTCTAGAGCAGCAGCTTTTCTAGCTAGATATAAAGAAAATATTCTTTTTCTCTTAGGTTCTTTTTTATTACTATAAACGAGAAAGTTCAATTTAACATTTACTCTTTATTGTATTGTATGAAGTACCTATGTAATGCAAGTATGTACTGTACTAAAATACCCATATTTCCACATAACATTACGTGGTGTAGCCCACAGTCTCTGCAGAAGCATCATGAGTAACCTGTGCCTTTACGCTTTACAATCCATTATTGGCTGCTGTTAGAAGTATGGTAACAGATGAAGAAAAAAAAAATAAAGCTAAGAATGAATACACTTTTCCAAACACACACATACACAGCTTACAATGGAACCCCAACGGAAACAAGTCAAATGACCACATTTGATGTATTATCTATAAAATGTAGACTCTACAATAAAAAGCCAAAGGCACATAAAAATATATTTTAACTTTAAAAATAACTTAGTTACAGTAATACTTTGCTTGTGTCTTACCAACATGTAGCTGACAGTCAAAATTTTGCGATATAGATATAATATATAAGGATATATAAGAACTACAAGAAAATCCCCAAAACCCATAGAGTTGTTCAAATGTGAAAACAGAGAAAAGTTTTAACACTGGAGAATTCGCTATGGTGAGCCCAAACAATATAATATAGAAAAGAATCTAGAAAAAAAGGCTTAGGTGTTAAATAAATTTTGACTTCCTCTTGCTCAGAAAATGTTGGAGTGCCGTAAAGTTCTGTAAAGTTCCTTAACGTGACTCGTCCAGCCCTTCATAGCTAGTGTCAATCGTGGCCAAGCCAGATTTCTTACGAGTCTGCAAACAACAAAAGTGAGCTGATCTACCAAAAATGGGCTCTGACTCACTCACTTCCTCTTTTTGCCAGGACAGGTTTTGTGGTTTTTTTTTTTTTTTGCTTTTTTGTTTTTTCTGAATTGTTTTTGCAAACAGGTAAAAAAAAAATATTTTGTAGGAACATTATTTTAGAAAACCCATCACACAACTGCAAATACAGCCCAGGAAGCCCTTCTTTCAACTGTGCGACTGTTGGTAGTTTAGTTTTCTTGTTGTTGTTGTTTGGTACCTTTTACCCCAAAGGAAAAGAGCTGGCATCCTGTTACTTATTTTTATCCATGACATTCAGCACCTCATCCAAAAGTGAGGGCCCAAGGTCGAGCTGCAGGGAGAGGAGGGAACCTGTGAGATCAGAGAGGGACTCCTCCGACTTAGTCTTTCCCTTGATGAGCTCGCACGAGGCAGAGTGGTCAAACATGTCCTCGGCAGGCCAGTCGGGGTACTGTTCGGACAGGCTGGAGGAGTGGCTGTCCCTGCCCTGGCTGGACTGAGATGCGGAACCGCTGGAGCCCCACGAGGTGTCTCCCTGGTGGACCGTCCCGCTCTCCGACAGACTGCGTTTCTCCTGAGCTTTTTCCTCCATGACAGGCTCACAGCTAAGCCTGGGCAGCTTTGCTGGCCCAAAGGACTCCTGTTTGGAATTAAATGTCACCGGTGACAATAAGGGCAACATGAGAGCTTGGGACCCTCCGATGGTGGGGAGGGAGATGGCATTTTTGAGCACTGGGGAGGGCGTTTCTGTGAACATGGAGTCCGAAGTGCTGTTGGCCCGGAAGAACTCGTTGTGCCCAGGGAACTGGCCCATGCACGCTTTCTCCTGGTTCCCAGGCAGAAGCTCATAGTTCCCTTGAAGGAAAGAAATATCTCCAAAAACGTCGTGCTGGCCCTCTTTGCCGATGTGAATGGTGTGGCGGAAGTCTCCAAGGGGAGGACTAATCATGTCGGGAGACAAAATGTCCCTCAGTTTAAATTTCTTTCCTTTCTTGTTATTGGCCGCTTTCAGGTAAATTGGGGTCTTGGCTGGCATCTTGGAATTTGAGAACGTCTATTTCACAAGAGGGAAAAGGGGCCACTTTCTTCACAGATGTTATAGGTTTCTGAAAAATCCTTTTTGATGAGAACTGTCACATCATTTTTCTCAAGTGGCTTCAGAAGTGGCTCTGAAATGAGATGGGGTCTAAGAGACCGTCCTGAGGTTATGGCCAAACGGGGCTTCCTGGAGAGCCAGTTACATCATCCAGTTCCTTCCACAACAAGGAGAAACCTGGAGAAGAAACCAGAGCAGGTTATAATCTACCCTCAGGGTTCCCAGTGGGCTGCCTTTTCACAAAGCATGTAAATAATGGCAGGGCCAGCTCCCACCTAAAGCTGAACTTTATCTTATTACTTCCCTCCATTAAGCAAGATCAAAACTTTAATCTTAATAAGGGTTCACTAATCTTAGTCTTACTTCAGAGGAAAAAAGAAAAAAGAAAAAGAGGGAGAGCATGAGTGAGACTTAAAAACCACAGACCACTGGCATCAGCATTTTTTAGACATGGCCGTGGACATAATTTTCTGGACATGCCTAGGATATTAGTCCTTTTCCTCTAGTCTAAGAACTGCTTGTCAGCATATCACCAGTGATTTCAGCTCCTTAGAAACAAATGGATTTGTTTTAAAATATATTTCCTATTTTGCTTTGGTGTGTACACTAGCAAGACTGATAATATTTTGTTGTTTAGTTCTGTATATGAATAAAATTAATGTAATAAAATGAATACTCTTATAAGGAAAGAGCTGGATATATCATTTACTAAGTGACAATAACTATTATATGTCAGTGTCCAAAAAAAAATCTTAGTGGAATGCATTCTACAGATGAGAAATCTGAGTTTCAGAAAACCCCTCCCCCTAAAAAAAAAAATCACCCTTTCTCAACAACTTATAGCAAGTAAACAAAAGAGCTAGAGTTGGAATCCAGTTGTGGCACAGAGTACTGGGCTGTCAAGGATTTCTGTATGTAGAGGCATTCTGAGATGGAAGAAAAAGAACGAAACTGGTTCATTTCAAAGAAAAAGCATTGTGATCACGTGTAATAGGTTGGGCTTTCACTTGGGAACACTTTTGAAACAGTGCTGATAAGGCTTGTATCTCCCCCTCCGGCAGCAGGCAGAAATCTAAGGGAGCTCCCAGGATCTTCCTCCTGGTATTAATGTCTCTGTGGGTGGAACCTGCGACTTGCTTCTAAGGAAGAGAATATGGCAAAGGTGACAGGTCACTCCCTGATTAGATTATGTTGTAGAAGTTTCCATCTGAGCTGGCGAGGGAGAGGCCCCCCTTGCTGGCTTTGAAAAAGCAAGCAGGCTGTGCAAGGACCTCTGGAAATGAATTCTGCCAACAGTGTTAAGGATCTCGGAAATGGATCTTTCCCCGGTTGAGCCTCTGATGAGACCACTGCCCTGGCCCACATCTGGATTACAGCCCAGTGAGAACCTGGAACTCAGCCCTGCCCAGAAACTGTGAGGTTATAAATGGGTGATGTTGTAAGCCCTGAAGTTTTTGGTAGTATGCTACCAGCATAGAAAACTAACACGTCCTCCCCACACATACATGACAAGACAAGAAGTAACGAACTAGTAGAAGGTGTTGGGGACGTCAGGCCCTCTTTTACTGATGAGACACTCTTATCTCTTGAAAATAATCCTCCACCTCTTCAGCTTCATTAGCTGACATGGAGAAGCTACAACCTTCCCCACTGCAGGAACTCCCCAAATAGCTCTGCTGTGACCTCTCCCACCCCGGCCGCAGAGCATACAAATAAATATTCCAAGGGCTGGGTCAGCTGATGGCTTGAAAGGAGCCACATTTGCTCTGAAGCAGCTGGAGGCTGTCTGCATCTGCCCCATATTTCTTCCTTTCCAGCAACGGTTTTATAATAAATTCATTTACCAGTGGCAGGTGACAAGAACTATTTTCCACTGCCCATTGGCACAGTAAAATGAAACTCTGTTTGGGAAGCAGCTTGCCCAGTATGTCAGCATCCAGCAACCCAGGCCTGAAAAGGCTGAGAACAACGAGCTGGGGAGAGCCAGCCCCACTCCAGCGCTGGGTAGGCGAGGAGGCCGAGGCAGCACGAGGAGGTTTGCATCCAGGTGGAGTGGGCTGGCCATGGACTGCCAAGCCTGGCATGATTGTGGGTCCTGCCATTCTCGCTCTCACAGTTCTAGCTCTAATTTGGGTCTTGTCACAGTAACAAAAGTTGAAACCTGGGGTCTTCCTGCTAAAACATCAGGACTTCCTTCCCACGTATGTGCACAATACCCGGGACTGGCCTAGGGCCCTGCCACCCAGAGGTGGCCCTTCCTGCCTCTCTGGGCACTGTGTGGCTTTCGGCCTGCAGCAGCTGCACAGCCCTGAGGAACAGCTGCCCACTGGAGTGGCATCTTCAGCACACAGGGCTGGGAGAGCAGCTGCCATGGAAAGATACAGTGTGTTCACCACAACTCAGGGCATGGAGGGTGCCTGTGGTCAGCTGGTGAGCCAGGGTTATGTGAGGCCAGGGCCCAGGGCAGGGTGTTCTAAATTACGAAGAAAAAAAAATGTCCTATGAAGATGTAGCCAGAGAGCAGTTCCCTACTCCTCTGACTGGATCATTCACATCCACCTTTCATTTAAACAAAGATTTGGGGCACTGGGGAGAAAGAAGAAAGGGGTGGGGGAAACACCTGCTGCTCTCCGAGAGCCTGGGAATGAGGGCCCAGTCCTCAGGCCTCCTGGCTGGGACCTGAGAGTGGACAAGGTGCGGGCCAGGCCCTGGCCGTCGGTCACTCCACTCCCTGCCTGGCCTCGGCCACGGTCACGAGCTCCGGAGCCTCCAGCCAGGGGCTTGCTCTGCCTGCGTGAAGTTGGGTTTTACGTCAGTGGTATGGAGAGATGCAGCCAAAAATAAGGAAAAAGGTAAGAAAAGGGTTGGTGGGGAGGCGACTTATGCTGGAGACAGTGGATTCTAGACAGTAGGAGAGTAAAGAAAAAGCACCGTCGAAGGCATTTTTCTTTCTTTCTACAAATATTTACATCATATGCACTGCGTGACAGGGATGCAGGCTTCCAGGACTTTAGAAATCATAATTTGCATTGAATTTCCACTACATGCCAGTCCTAAGAACTCCCAAATACTTTGAAAGTTACAAAAAAAGAAGAAATTTTGGGCAAAAATGTCAGTTTTACAACTTGAGATGAATCGATGTTTGCAAACACTGGCAGCTCTGACCCAGTCCCTCCACCTCATCTGTCATCTTTCCTCCTCCAGCGCAGTGGCAGCCGCGCCGGATTCCAGGGAGGCAACCCCACGCGGACGATTTCCTACTCCGACACTTCCTCCTCTCCTTTCTGGATACGCGGGGCTAAGTCCACGCAGCTTTATCAGTTTTCCCCTCTCGCTCTCGAGACCGACTGCTCTTTCAGCTTCATCTCTGCCAGCTGCTTATACAGAAACCTAATGTGGTGGCTTCTTCCCTGGCAAGAAGTGGCCGGTCCTGGAGAGGGTGTGAGCACCCCCTGGGAAGCAGCAGCCATTAATAGGACAGCCAATAAGTACTGAGGGCTCCTCCGTGTGCTGGGCACTGTCCCAACCTGTGACATGGACTAGCTTACTCAGGAGATCCCATCAAGCCTCTGCTGTTATTCTCCCCATTTTATAAACGAGGCCCCACTGAGGCACAGATGAAGAGCCACCCTGCCAGGGTCGCACGGCCACCATGCACTAAGCCAGGTGAAGCCTTGACATGATTTAATGAGCACATTCCCTGGGAATTCAGTCAGCTCCCGAATTATCGAAGTCTGTTTCAGACACAAATGTATGACAACGCGCTGGGCTGATGAGGGTGGGTGTAGGCTGTGCGCACCCTGATGGTAGAAGCACAAACAGAGCCAGCCTCTATGGAAGACAGTTTGCTGATATCTACCAAAACTGCAAATCATATGCCCTTTGACCCCCGATTCCACTTACAGGGATCTATCCAACTCACATACGTGAGAAACACCACACAATGTTGTTCAACCCAGCAGAGTTTGTAACAGCCAAGAGTTGGAAACAACCTAATTGTCTACCTATAGAGGACTGGTTAAATAAACTAAGGGGCATTCACATAAATCAATACTATTCAGGTCTAAAAACCGATGAAGCAGCTTTTAATATGCTCGTATGGAAAAAGCCCAAAGATGTACATCTTCAAAGGCAAAAAACACAGGCGCAGGAGTGTGTAAATATATTTGTATTGGCGTGTGTATCTATAAAATATTTCTGGAAACATACACAAGAAAGTAATAATAGTGACTGCCCCCAGAGTGGGGAAGTGGACACGGGTGGGAAAGAAACTTCACTATACATCCTTTTATGATTTTGGATTTTCAAATCATGTGAATGAATTAGCTGTTTAAAAAAATAAAAATAGCTAAATAAATGTATAGGGTTTAGGTTACACTTTCTTAGAGAACCAATTTTACACAAGGCCGTTAGGTCCTGAGAAGCCTATTGAACCCATGAGTTACTGATCATAATGCCACCATCTGTACAGGAAAATGTATCCAAAAGCAACCTTGGGGACGGCAGTGTGTGGACCTCACAAGAGGGCTGAGCTACTCCCACCAGAGCCAAGGGACAGACTGATCACTTCTTCTTTCTGTGATCAGGCATTCGCGGAAGAGGCAACATCGACCTGGATTTTGCAGAATGAAAAGATCTCTGAAGAGAAGTGCTTTTAGTCGGGAGGAAAAGGAGAAAGGGCAAGAGGGGGGAAAGCACATGGATGCTGGGGGGGCGGCAGGAAGGCAGGGCTTCCCCACGGAGGGAGGCACAGGCAGGTGGAGCCGCCTGGGCTCTGATGGGCACCAGTGAGTGACACAGACAACCTTCTACTGCAGAACAGCACCAAGTGCTGTGACATGAACTCCTACCCCTCCTCATCATTCTAAGGAAAGAAGACTTGCATTCCGGGAGGCTGCTGGTGGCTGACCAACGTGGCAGGAGAGAGGGCTGGGAATCAGTCAGACAGAGCAGGAGAGCCTGAGTTGGGACCACCCCGGGGCTCTGCTCTCTGCCCAGAAGGGAGAGGGACCTGCTTGTAGGAGGAGGAAGAGGGGAGAACAGAAAAGGAAGAGCTAACAGGAAGGGCTTACAGGCCAGAAGTGAATTATCAGACAGAGTGAGCCCTCCTGGGTGCCCGAGGAGACGGGGGAAGAGAATTGTAGCTTTGTGTATAGTCAAGACCCTACCACCAG